TGAAAATCTGCCTGTGGTCATAAATGTTCATCACTTAAGAGGATTTCAAGATTTTTCAAGTAAAATGAAAAAGAGTGTGGGCTGTAAGAATGCATATTTGGGTCAAAACCAAATGGCACACTTAAAGCCAAGCACCTCACTGGACGTAAATAATTCAACGAAAACCACCAAACAAGCAGGAGAGATTGAGCAAAAGTAATTGATACCGACAAGAACAAACTATTGGAACAGCCTAAGGGTATGAACTATGGTTTTCAAAATGGTGGCGTCAGAACCTATTTGTTACATGGATGAAGGAGAGAAAAGCCTGTTTTTGTTTTTATACTGAAGCAAAAAAATCTATCAAAAGGAGGAAATTCTGTCCCATACAGATTATTGCTTTTTCTTTTATTACATTTATTTACTGTAGGGAGCATGGAGGCCTTTGTGCTCACAGACATGCACCAGGGGAACCCAGAATGTTAAGCACATAGTATGGTTCCTTCAAGGGAAGGAATGCAAAACCTGTTTTCTGCCCAGAAGGCTAAAAAGCAGCTGTGCTTTCTAGCCTGGTTACCTTTGTGCAGTCTATGTGGCCAGGGACTTTCTGGCCCGTTCTCGTAAACTTGGTTTTCCTCAGTCAATCTACAGAACCTATCCTTTATGGAAGGTGTCTCGTGTGCTTCACCAAGAGTTTCGATGCAGCTGCGTCGGATCAAAATTCAGCTTACCCTGTTCCGCAGAGAGACTTAGGTATGCTTTGCTCTGCACTCGGGCTTGAGTTAATCACCACAAGAATGGTTTCCACCAGGTTGTGCTGTGTTTAAATACACCGAAAACATACAACTTGGGGTCAGACTCCCAAAGTTTGAACTAGCACCGGCTACCACACACCATACGTGCACGTAGAGGTCAGAGGTCAAGTTGTTGGCGTCGATTCTATCTTTCCACCATGTAGGTTCTGGGAATCCAACTCGGGCCGACAGATTTGGCATTAAGCAATGAGCCATCTTGCTGGCCCTGGTTTTATTTATTTATTTTTTAATGTCCATCTGAGCTGTGTGTGTAGCTCAATGGTATAAAGACTGCCTAGCATGCACGAGGTCCTGGTCCCGTCCCCAGCTCTGTACACTCGATCTCCAACTCTCAGGAAAGATCCCCATCATTTCCCTATATTTTGACTATTCCTCATCCTTTTCCCTAAGGAGAACCATTCTCACCCTGTCTGGAAACTTGACTGGTTCAGGAAATGACGATTCCCAATGCCTCCCCATCCCCCAGAACTTTTGAGACGTTATATGGCCCAGGCTGGCCTGGAACTTGCTGCGTACAGACCAAGCTAGCCTCAGACTTACGATTCTCATGTCTTAGCCTCCCAGGGGTGGGAATTACAGATGTACACTACCATGTCCAGCTCCTTAATTCTTCAAAGCTGATGTCATATACCCCACTGCTCTAGCGGCGAAGCATGTACGACACCTGTGGACAACACGTAAGTCACCGTCACATCTGTGACGTTTACATTTAACAAAATGCAACCCAAGTTCAGATGACCTACTGACACCCTAATCACAGTGGCCCCCCTTTACTGTCCGGCTCCCCCTCCGGCCACTACTCAACTCCTAGCACAAGGACTAACCCTAATGGCATCATAGGTACTCATCTAATATTTATGCTATTTAAAAAAAATTTTATTATGATTTATGATTTTTTTTTTGTTTTTGTTTTTGTTTTTGTTTTTCGAGTCAGGGTTTCTCTGTGTAGCTTTGCGCCTCTCCTGGAACTCACTTGGTAGCCCAGACTGGCCTCGAACTCACAGAGATCTGCCTGGCTCTGCCTCCCGAGTGCTGGGATTAAAGGCGTGCACCACCACCGCCCGGCTGATTTTTTTTTTAAATTTTGTGTTCATTGGTGTTTTGCCTGCCTGCATGTCTGTGTGACGGTGTCAGATCCCCTGGAACTGGAGTTACAGACAGTTGTGAGCTGCCATGTGGGTACTGGGAATTGAACCTGGGTCCTCTGGAAGAGCAGTCAGTGCTCTTAACCGCTGAGCCATCTCTCCAGCCCTAACATTTATTTTTTTAAATGTATTACATTTGTCTAGTGTATATGTTTTCACACAGCACACGCCATGGCAATGCACATAAGGGGTCAGAGGCCGGTTTTCGGGGGTCCGTCTCTCCACCATGTGGGTCTTGGGAATCCAAGTTGGGTTGTTTAGCTTGGCGACTGGTGTGTTTACCCTCGGAGCGATCTCATCGGCTCTCAGGGAGAGAATAACAAATGAAAAGAATCAAAATCAACACGGGAGTGGGAGCACACACCTGTAAGGCCAGCACTGGGAGGTGGAGGCAGGGGGATCAAGTAGCCCAAGGTCATCCCTGGCTATATAACAAGTTCAAAGCTAGTCTGAGCTACATGAGAGACCCGTCTCAAAAGAAATTACGGAGAATTGTAATTAGTCTTAGTGGTTGAGATGTAGCTCAGTAGGTAGGTAGACTGATTGCCTAGCACGCACAAAGCCCTGGATTCAGCCCCAGAATGTATACATCTGGGTGTGGGGGTATATGCCTGCAACCTCAACATCCGTTAGGTAGAGGCAGCAGGATCAGGGGTTCAAGGTCATCTTGGACCATATGACAAGTTCCAGGCCAGCCTGGGATACCTGAAAGCCTGTCTCTAAAGGAAAATAGAAAATCAAGGGGTTGGGGATTTAGCTCAGTGGTAGAGTACTTACCTAGCAAGCACAAGGCCCTGGGTTCAGGCCTCAGCTGGGGGGGGGGGGGGGGGAATCAATCTCCTGTGCTTAGATTCAGTAGAGGTTTTTGGATCAAATCCAAAGGACCATCCTACATAGCTAATTTTTCTCCCTCAGACAGGTCATTTCCTCTGTATACACAGCCAGGACCCTGAGTGGCCTCCAAGCATAGCACAGATGACCTTCAAGGACCAGCCATGTTTTTGCCACAGGCAGGAGGGTTCTGTGTTTTAATTGCCTGGAGTTTCCATCTGTGGCTCTTGGAGCGGCGCCTGGCTCTGCACCCAGCCGACTGACCTACTGGTTCTGCACGGTTGGAAACGAAGTGGCTTCGGTAACAAAGAAGCCCACGGCGCAGCATGGAAAAGCAGATTGGCCTGAAATTTTCTACAGCTGGAGTCTCTCAACAGACCGAAGCATTAGCTGAGGCACCTAGAAACTCAAAGGTGTGTTTACCTCTGGGCGGGGAAGCATTCCGTATCCAAACACGCAGGAAGCAGGGTGCCTTTGCTTCTGAGAGCTGGCACCGACCACAGTGCTTCCCCAAGAACATCTGAATACTGTGGTTCTGACTGGGCCGAACTGGGAGCTTCTCACCTCGCAGAGTCATGAGAGAAGTTCTCCAAAGCAACGCTGACATCACTGGATGTAAGGGTGGATCTCAAGTCATTGCCCTATCTAGAGAGCCACCATTTCTACAAAGATGTGACTTGCTTTGCAAGACTATCTATCTATCTATCTATCTATTTTTTGCTTTTTTTTTTTTTTTTTTTTTTTTTTTTTGGTTTTTCAAGACAGAGTTTCTCTGTGTAGCTTTGTGCCTTTCCTGGATCTTGCTCTGTAGACCAGGCTGGCCTCAAACTCACAGAGATCCGCCTGGCTCTGCCTCCAGAGTGCTGGGATTAAAGGCATGCACCACCACCGCCCGGCTATTTTTTGCTTTTTGAGACAGGATTTCTCCGTGTAGTTTTGGTGCCTGTCCTGGATCTCGCTCTGTAGCCCAGGCTGGCCTCAACCTCACAGAGATCCACCTGGCTCTGCCTCCCGAGTGCTGGGATTAGGGTGGCGTGTGCCACCGCCACCTGGCAGGAGACACTTTGAGATGCCCCTGGGCAGATCTCTCTACCCTCTGAGCTCAGGCAGCCCTGTTCCAACCCTCCTTTTAGCTTAACGATCCAGATGACAGGGACCAGGCTGAGTGAAGACGTCTTTAGCTAAAACAGAGGAGGGTTTTGGTGGTGTTGGGGGGAGGGGCAGAATCGAACATATTATTCTCTGCCCTTTCCACTTTGCTTTCTGTTCCCTTTATACGAGCTTTCAGCATTTTCAATTAATCTTGGAATGGTCGCCGAAGGCAAGAAGCCCGCGGTGCCTAAGGAAGGAGGAGAAAGTGCAGCCTGATCCAGAGAAACAAATGCCAGCGAGGGACCCCACAGCAGAGAGACAGACACTGTGAGAGAGCCCCTCTCAAGAGGCTGGCGAGGCGTGTGCGTGTGCGCGGGTCTCCGCGTTGGCACCATCTGCCGATTCCTCAGGAGGACAGAACAAGCCAGCGAGCCATGAAGATGCGATTATGTAACGCTGGAGGATTGCTTGTTTTCAAAAGAAGGAAGCAAATGGAACGGATTGATTTGTTTGTCAAAGTCATGTCACTAAAGGAGATCGGTCCCCTCCTCCTCCTAGAGGACCTCAGCAAAGAGGGGAGTGTTTCCAGACACACAAGACCAGCACAGGGACAGTTGGCTCAGAGGGTAAAGACGCTTGTGCTGGAGCCTAATGACCCACCTGGGTTGGACCCCTGGGACCCACAGGCTGGAAGGAAAAAAAAAAACTGACTTCAGCAAATTGTCCCTTGACCTCCACATGTGCATACAGAGGCAAAGGCACACAGCTTCCCCCTGCGGAATAAATAGATGCATAAGAAAAAAAAATGCAAGACCACAATTCATTCCATTCACAAAAGCAAGGCCATTTCCAGAGCTGTGCTGGCAAATCCTTTTCTGGTTTCTCTGCTTGAAAAATGACTGTTCCCCTGTTAACTAAAGGGCACAGCCATAGCAAGGGACGTAATTGCCACTGGCCCTCGCGAGCTTCGGAACCTGCCTTCTTTGCCTGGCCGGGAAGTAACATCTAATCCTGAGACCCATGCAATCATATTACTATGCAGAACTCCAAACAAGTGCTTTGAGAGAGGAGGCAAGGCTTCCTTTGTTAAAGATTTATTTTATTTTTAATTCTGTGTGTGTGTGTGTGTGTATGTGTGTGTGTGTGTGTGTGTGTGTGTGTGTGTGTGTGTGTGTGTGTGTGTGTCTGAGTGTGTGTGTAGGACAAAGGACAAACAAATTAAAGTCGGTTCTCTCCTTCCACCGTGATGTGTTCAGGGCACTAGCCACCAAACTCTGGTCTTCAGGCTTGGCGGCAACCACTTTACCCATAGCGCCACCGTAGTGCCCCGCCCCCATCACCTTTTTTCAACATGGAAATTAAACCTGTAGTATGGGATCCACCTGCCCGCTCTCCTCCATGCTGCTTTCTGCCCTGGGGCTCTGCTCCCTCACCCTCCAGCCCTTGGGAGCAGCAGGCAGAAAGGGTATAAACGAGCTCCAGGTATAAATTCCCCCAGCTCCCTCCCTCCCACATGTGCCTCAGGTTGGTGGTATCTTCATATAGCAGGTCTCCCCCTCCCCAAAGGAGCCTGGTCCCCAGAACCCTCTCTTTCTGGGCTCTGTAACTTCTTCCTAGACGTCACATCTAAGACTGGGGAAGGCTATTTCTAGCTCCTTGGGCACTGGACCCATCCTAGAGTTCCCTTGTACCCTACCCAAACCTTGTCAATCGACCCTTGACTAAACCCTCCTCTAATCATCCAATTTGAGCATGCCACCTGTTTCTTATGTAGACCCTGTCTACACCGCGTCAGCCTGTCGTAGGCCCTACACCATGTTAAACTGAAAAGAAAAAAAAAAAAAGCAACATTAATAACACAGCATGCTACGGCTTTGTGTAGTTCCGTCTATGCATTCACCTTTTCCCAAAGCTATAATAACAACGTAAAGAGAAAGTCTAATTTCTCTTTACAACAGAATTGTGCAGTGGAGTTTGTATGAGCTAAATATAATCCGGAGAACAAGCTTTTTCGTGCCATCAAAATTCATGTTAACAACTATAAAGAGAAAACTCCAGAACTGATGCCCCTGAGTCAAGATTTAACGGGAAATATATTCCAGTATTTAAACCAATCCACTAATATTCGAGAGTCTATGTGGCCAGTAAGTTGGGGTGTGTGTACGTGTGTGAGCAACAAGGAACGTGAGCTGAGTGGGTTTGGTCTTCTTTGTATTAAATAAGTATACTTTCAAAGAGGTAAATTTGGGCTGGTTGAGGTGGCTTCGGTGGGTAAGGGCGTTTGCTACCAAGCCTGACTTGAGTTCAGTACACGGTGGAAGGAGAGAACCAACTCCCTGAAGCTGTCCTTTGGCCTCTGCAGGCATGCCCAACACCCCAACCCACACACAGGAAGCAATGTAGAAAACAAACCAATAAGACCTCAACAGGGCGGATGCAGCCGGATGTGGTGCTAACAGGTGTACTCCCGAACTCGGGAGGCTGAATCAGGAAGAGGGAAAGTTTGCAGCCTGGGTGGGCCACATATTGAGACCCTGTCTTTCAAAAAAATAAAAACAAAAACAAAAAAAAGTTGGGGCTAGAGGGCATGGCTCAGTTAGGAAGTTCTCAGAAGATCCGAGTTCAGTTCCCGGCACCCCTCCCAGGGACTTACAACTCCAGCTCCAGGGGCGCCGGTGCCTCTGGCTCCCCCAGCACCTGTCCTCGTGTGCACAGACCCCGCCAACACACACCATAATTTAAAAACAATATTTTGAAAAGTTAGATGCAAATTTCATTTCCATAAATCAAACGGTATGTTTCGTGATCATGAGGAAGCTTGCTATCTGCATAATAAGTTAGTCAAATAACCACCTTTTGATGTTTAGAGCCAATGAGATTGCGAGGCACATCGACTCAGTGTCCTTCCAGTGGAATTTATCTTCAGTCTGCAGGGAGGCTTGCTCGTCTTCCATGCTCCTGAAATAGCAGAAATTATGGAATGGAATTTAGAGGAAAGATAAGGAAATTGCCATTTATAGACTACACAGAAAACTCAGGCAATTTGCATCTGTTAGGCACATTTAACCCTGAAAATAAACACGCATTCCATCGCTTTCTTATTTTCTGTATCTGAAAACACACACACACACACACACACACACACACACACAAAAAAAAAACCCACAAAAAAAATCAGCCTGGCAAGTATACAAATCAAAATCCACTTTTTTTCGAAGCAGAAAGCCAAGTGAAAACACTTCTCAGTGCAGGATTATAAAGCTCCCATCCACAGCTTCAGTGGCTCTCCCCACTGCTCTTGGGATCAAGTCCAGATTTCTTCACACAGCCTGGCTCCTCAAGCATTGGTACTCTCAAGCCTTGCTGCTTCTGCCTCGAAGGCCTGAGCATTCCCTGGCCCTGCTGCACACTCTCCTCCACGTTAAAACTTAGATCCCTGCCCTCTCGCAATCTGTACTTCCCGGGGAATGTCTGTCTCCCCAGCTGGGCCCACAGCACTGGCTCCTTAATGCCCAACACCAGCGAAGGGCTTGCCGCGCTGCCTGATGGGGGCCATTTGCCACCGTTTCCCTCCTTGGTCGGGTTTCCTCTGGCCCTGGAAGGGCATCGCGCAATGCCTCTCTCAAATGCAGGGGCAGTCTAAACCGGGTATGATGGTATACACACATAACCCCAGCATTCCGGAGGACGCAGGAGAATGAGAAGTTCAAGGTCATCCTTGGCTACATAGTGAGTTAAAAGCCAGCCTGAGTTACTCGAGACCCTGTCTCCAAAAAAAAATTAAATAAATAAACAGATAAAATAAAAATAAAACATGGGGAAGTCAATAAAGCTTTCCTGGAAGTTCTATAAGTTCCTTCCCTCATTGTATTTTCTTCCCTTTCCCCTCTCTCTCTCTCTCTCTCTCTCTCTCTCTCTCTCTCTCTCTCACACACACACACACACACACACACACACACACATATATAATACATAACACATACACACACACCACACACACACACATGCACTGAGGAGTTCCCGTTGAGGTCCCAAAGACAATGGGACGTCCCTCAGGCCTTGCACCTGCAGATTTGTGGAGCACCTGGTCACGTGACTATGACTGTTGGTTTTCTACATGCAGGACACATGTGCAGTGAGGTTGCCTCACCTCCTCCAGGACGTCATAGCTGCACAGTTGGACTGGGCCAGCTCAAGGGCAGGAGGTAGTGAGGTCTCCGTGAGGATGAGGGTGCCGTGTTGAGCACGGCCCTATCCGGATCCCACAGAATACAGTCCTAACAATTTTGAGCAGTAAGGATTGGTGAGTCCATTTTACAGAGGGGAATACTGAGGCACTTGTGTGTTTTGTTCTTGTTTTTAGGATTTATCCAAAGGTTCAGGTCATAGTGTCGGGATAGCAACTCAAATTTCTCTGCTTTTCAAATGTCTGCACGCTCTGAGGCCCATCTTTATAATTTCAACAGTAACATCCTGGTCTGGGGTAATGGCTCCCTTGGTAAAAGCGTTTGCCACAAAAGCCCAAGGACCTGAGTTGATCCCCCAGCAACCCTGTAAAAGCAAAAACAAACAAACAAACAAAAAACCCTGGGCCCTGTGCATAGTTGTGATCTGAGGACTGGGGGGTGGAGTCAGGCTAGCCAATCAGTGAGCTCTGCGTCACTCAGGGGCCATGTCTGAGAAAACAAGGTGCATGGCACCTGAGGAGTGACACTCGGGGAACAGGACCTCTCTCTTCCACAAGCACATGCACACCTGTACACAAACACGCACACCTGTATACACACAAACATGCACACCTGTACACACGCACGCACGCACGCACGCACGCACGCACACCAGCTTTTTAAAACAAAGGAAACAACATTGACTGCCTCCCATTACTTATAAAAATCAACTTTTAAAAATTATTTTTATTTTGCTATGCAGTGGTGTCGAACCTTTAGTTCCAGCACTAGGGAGGCAGAGGCAGGTGGATCTCTGTGAGTTCGAGGCCAGCCTGGGCTACAGAGTGAGATCCAAGACAGTCATCAAAACTACACACAGAGAAACCCTGTCTTGAAAAACCAAAAAGAAAAAAAAAAATTTAAAAAAGCATTTTTTTTTTTATAACCTGATGTGTTGTTTGCCTGCATATATGTCTGTGTATCACGTGCATGCCTGGTACCTGTGGAGGCCAGAATGGGCATCAGATCCTCTTGGGCTGAAGTTAAGACAGTTTCCAACTGCCCTGTGGGTAATGGGAACTGAACCCAGGTCCTTTCTCTGAAAGAGCGGCCGGTGCTTTTCATCATGGAAAGATGGCTATCTTTCCAGCCCCTGGAAATTAATTTTTCCCAACATGTAGTGTTGTCTAATAAATGCCAAACACAGCGTTAGACCGTGGGGTTTGCCCAAACACAACGGACCCTGTTACGGACTGAGAGCACGGACTTAGAAAATGCCCCACCCGCCTGCCTGCAGCCGGGTTTTATGGAGGCGTTTCCTCAACTGAGGCTCCTTCTCCAGTGACTCCAGCTGTGTCAAGTTGACCCGCAAAACCAGCCAGCAAACTGACCCCTTGTCCGCGTGACACCCGAACACATCACTGTGAGGCCACAACCTTTCCTTTCTAGTTCATCCTCCAAGATCTCACATTAAACATAGATAACTTGAGAAGTACCACAGTCTTTGCAAATTCAGACACATTAAAAGATCAGTTTGGTTTTGTTTTTGTTGTTGTTTTGGTTTGTTTTTTCGAGACAGGGTTTCTCTGTGTAGCTCTGGCTGTCCTGGAACTCCCTCTGTAGACCAGGCTGGCCTCAAACTCACAGAGATCCTCCTGCCTCTGCCACAACCACCAGGCAAGACCAGTTATGTTTAAAAAAAAAAAAAAAAAAAGTCTCTTTTAAAATCCAAAAAGCAGGGCTGGAGAGATGGCTCAATGGTTAAGAGCACTGGCTGTTCTTCCAGAGAACCCGGGTTCCCAGCACCTACATGGCAGCTCACAACTGTCTGTAAGTTCAGATCTCCAGGATCTGACACCTTCAGACCAATGCATATAAAATAAAGTTAAAATAAATTTTTAAAAAAGCCTCTCAACTGTGAGCTCCTTTAAATTAAAAATAAGTTAATTATTTTCTTATTTCAGGAGGGAAG